TGATTATTGAATATTTTCCCTTGCCGGGACGTTGAGATTATTGATGTTGTACCCTTGCCGGGATTTAATTGTTTTATTGTGTTCCCTTGCTGGGATTCCTATTATTATTTGTTTATTCCCTTGCCCTTTTTTGTGATTGTTGTTTGGGTGAGGAAGAGAGTAAAGCACGAAGGGTGATGCCGTGCATTGTTTGTTTATTGTGAGGAAAGAGTGTAAAGCACGAAGGGTGATGTCGTGCATTGTTTGCTATTGTGAGGAAAGAGTGTAAAGCACGAAGGGTGATGTTGTGCCGCACGTTGTACCATTCCGTACCAATTCTATTGATTATATGTGAGGAAAGAGAGTAAAAGCACGAAGGGTGATGCCGTGCATATTTTGTTATTCTAATTGCTTGGTGAGGACGAGAGTAAAAGCACGAAGGGTGATGCCGTGCATTTGTCTTTGATTTTCCTGATTTCTTTGCTGATAATTGAGTTATGTTGTCCTTTACGTCTATTTATTGATTTTCTTGTTATTATCAGTTCAAGTGCATTACTTGTCTTATTCCATTATTTCTGTGATTCTTTACATTGACATTTCCCTTTATCGTATTACTTGTTATTATTGAACCAAGGTGTCCTTGCGCAACGTTGTTTCTTGAATTTATGCCTTAATTGCTACATGATTATGTGACCTAATTGCTACGTGACGTTCAACATATAAATTACTAAATTGCCTAATTGCCCCCTTATAATCCATAATTAATTGCTACTTGTCATTATTTGTTTTGCTTAGTAAATCATAAATTTTGTGTACTTGTTGTCTTATGAACTCATATTAATTATTGCGTTTGTTAGAGTAAATTTTCCTTTAGAGGAACTGTTGATTTATTGAAATGGGAGCGAGTGGTACGCTACCACGAGATATGGAGAAATGGGATCGGGTTGCACGCCTGCAACAAGATGAGTTGAATCTGAAAGTTGCCTTATCTCTTCATTTACTGCTAGAAGTTAAATTGTAGATGTACGCTTTATTATTCCTGAAGTTCTATTTCTAATTGTTGCCCTTGAAGCATGCTCCCTTCCCCAGCTTAAATTGTTATTTTCTTGTTATTTTTTTTCGTTGTACTTGTATATATATCTGCACATGTGTATTTGGTGGTCTGGTCCTAGCCTCGTCACTACTTCGCCGGGGTTAGGCTAGGCACTTACCAGCACATGGGGTCGGTTGTGCTGATACTACACTCTGTGCTATTTTGCACTGATCCCAGGCTTCAGACAGCAGCAGCAATAGAGTGGGAACAAGCTTCCAGTCCAGCGAGACCCGAGGTAGCCTTGCAGGCGTTCACAGGCCCTGGCATCTCCTTTCATCTATATTCCTGTTTCTTTCATGTATTTCTGGAGACAGTGTCGAGTTATTTCTTTCAGACCTTTATGTGTAGTACTCTTAGACCGTCTTTGAAACTGTGATACCAGTCTTGGGTAGAGGCTTTTGTTGAGATTTTCCGCATTTTTATTCAGCTTTCTATAACATTGAGACTTCCGCTTAGTATTTAATTTCGTTGCTTTTGTATCATTGCCGATAATTGTTAAAAAGAATTATGTTGTTAATGAAAAAGTAATTAAATTTGGCTTGCCTAGCTCCCATTAGTAGGCGCTATCACGACTCCCGAGAGTGGGAAATCCCGATCGTGATAAAAAGACATTTAAATTATGAGAATAAGCTCATAAGGTGGAAAAGAAAAACTCAGGGAAATGTACAAAGAAATTAAGAGAAAAAAGAGAATTAAGATTGGGCACAAAAATTACTAATGCAGCTATAAAAAAGAACTAAAACCTCTAAATTTGACTAAGGATGAATATAAATTAATTTTAAATACTGACACTTTACACAAAATATTGAGGACCAATAGTAAGAAGACAAATGAGTACGTGGAATAGAATTGAGAATTCAGGAGCAAGAAAGTATTAGGATTTGCCCTGAATTTCTAATCTATTAGGACTCTCTTTCTTGAAGGAATGGAAAAAGACTCCTAAAAGGATTAAATCTTCTTAATATGTCTTATCCTTTTCTTGGAAGACAAGAATTGAACATCTATAAATTAAGGATCTCTGTTTCTCACAAGAACACAAAAATAAAATATCCACAATATAGTCATTAAAGAATTTTGTTTAGGGGGAGACATTTCTCTCGATAGTTTTTCTTCTTTTAGATTAGTTTTATCATATGTAGGTCAATTGACCAAACCATTATAAACTATTATGCTTAGTTTAGTATATTTTTCTTTTGTCGTCTGATTTATCGTCCACCAAGCTTTGTATTGTTAGTTTCTGCATGCACCATGTTATTTCGATCCCAACAAGTGGTATCAGAGCCAATGGTTCAGAGTCATCCGTTAAATGAAGTTGAAGACAGATTCAATGCGTGTTTAGATCAAGACGATAATGAAGATTTATCCAAAAAAAATTGAATATGATGCTATATGTGGAGATAAATTTACAAGCACAATTGTATTCAAAACACCTGCTGCTGCATCTCTCTTTTTAACCCATATTTTGACCACTTTTGACCAATGCCAGTTTTAAGTCATGCCTACTTGCAACGCATGAGTTCCAGTGCCAGTTTTAACTCACGCTTCTTTTTAATGCATGAGCTTCTTTTACCCATGTTTATTCTTAACACGTGGGCTCCTTTTAACCCATACTTGGGCTTCTTTTAACCAATACCAAGATTTTCAACCTATACCGATTTTTAATCATGGCAAGCAGCAGTGATGAAGATTATGTGAAGAAGGTGAATCAACTTTGTCAAGAAAATTCAGGCCAAGGGGAGATTATTAGGATTTGCCCTGAATTTCTAATCTATTAGGACTCTCTTTCTTGAAGGAATGGAAAAAGACTCCTAAAAGGATTAAATCTTCTTAATATGTCTTATCCTTTTCTTGGAAGACAAGAATTGAACATCTATAAATTAAGGATCTCTGTTTCTCACAAGAACACAAAAATAAAATATCCACAATGTAGTCATTAAAGAATTTTGTTTAGGGGGAGACATTTCTCTCGATAGTTTTTCTTCTTTTAGATTAGTTTTATCATATGTAGGTCAATTGACCAAACCATTATAAACTATTATGCTTAGTTTAGTATATTTTTCTTTTGTCGTCTGATTTATCGTCCACCAAGCTTTGTATTGTTAGTTTCTGCATGCACCATGTTATTTCGATCCCAACAGAAAGAACATTTTTAGAGTCAATTGTGAAAAGGAAAATAGTTTTTTATTTTATTTATTAATATACTTTAAAAAGAACAAAATACAAAATGTCATCATGTAAATACCATCAATTTTTGCCCCCTTGAGAATCGGGGCGTGTAATAACCTTATTTTAATAAAGCTCAATCTCATATTAACTAAGTAAATATATATAAAGATAAATGTACCAAATTGTTAATTTACTCAAACTAATTGCAATACAGTTAGACCTCTCTTTAACAGTATCCCTATATAACAACACTTCACTATAAAAGTCAAACTTTTCCGGAATCAATTTTTATATTATGTTATAATATATGTTCTCTATAACAGCACTTCGTTATAACATTCAAAAATATTCGGAACAAACGAGGTTGTTATAGACAGATTTGACTGTATATATTTTCAAACAAACATTAAAGGTGTGTATCGCAGCGAACAATTTGTTGGGCCGGTGCTAGCATGGGCCAATGCATATCTAGTCTTTTACTATATGTAACATTCGAGATTTTGTTATATGTAGCCGCACTATATGGCCCATAGTTTAGTAATTTTTTAAGTACCGATGTTTGTGGCTTATCACGCCCAACTATGCCTTATAAAAAGGACAAAGCGATCCCTGCAACAATAATCCGGTTCAAGAGTTCCGAGTTGAATCCCATAGAAAACTAACCTGTTTGGCACAACTTTTCAGTATTACCAATAATAAACTCAGTCAATTTTCAGAGTTCAAGACTTAATTTATGAATGAACTAAATTACTTAACTAAGAAAAAATACGACAATAAAAATTATCAACTAGTTAGAATGAGGTAAAATCAAGGATAAAAAGGTCTAAGGTTAGTGATTTCCCCAATTGCCGAATTAATTCCTAACATGTTAGCTATAATCTCGCCGCACCACTCTCTAAAGATGATGAGTTCTTATTTATCGCAACTATCTCACGATCAATTAGTATTCTCTTGAATTACTCTAGCTGACAATTTGTACAACTCGTAAAGATCACGCCAAAACTTCGTTATCTCTAATCCTGCTTTTAAATCCAAGTAATTAATCTCTTAACTTACTCGAAAGTAGCGTTGTTCAACAACAATTTAATCAAGTATTCTCTCTCAAGCAAAACAAGATAACTAGACACAATTAATCAAGGGTCCTTCAATTAACCACAAGAAGCACGTAGTTGAACAATTAAAGAGTAAAACAACTCAATTATACCAATACACAATCAAGAACTCATCCAACAATGTTCCATCAAGCCCTAGATGACGGGTTTAGCTACTCATAATATTATGTAAGATTACAATATAAAAAGTAATAACCATTAATGGAAGTATATATGAAGAAGGAAGTGAAAAACTCGTAAAAGAATTCTCCACCTTGCTCTTTTTGTGTTCTTGCCTCCTTCCGTTCAATCCCCTCAAAAAGTGAATTTAAAGACTATTTATAAGGGATATGATTAGCATGGAGCCAACTTTGGAACAAACTAGTCAGGTTACTACAAAAAAAGGGTAAATTGCGGAGGTTAAAATTGCAATTTGCGGAGGTTTGCGGAGGCACGGCGATTCGGGAAAATGAAATTTAATTTTTTTTGAGTGTAGGGGTTGTAAACCCCCGCAATTTCTTATGTGTACTCCATCGGGGTCTGTTCAATTTCTTTTTGGAGGTTTTGTCCCCTTCTATTTTTAAATATATTATAGAATTGTTTTTTTTATCATCAATTTGCCATACTTTTTCCCGAATATCAATTGAAATATTTATGCTTAAACCAAAACATTAAAATTAAAAAACATCAACATTTCATTAACCGTGAAAAATACTATGGCAGAGTAGTATCATATGTCATCAAGCTAAACTAGAACATAGTTAACCATCTATATTAATCAGCTATTACATTGGCCTAATACATCCACTTCAATTAAAATGAATCTCAATGGTTGTCACTGGGATTACTAGCGCCATAAGATCTTCTTGCATCCGTCGGTGAAACGGGTCCACTACCTGCATCACTTGGCTGCAGCAAAAAGTAAAAAAAATACAACTACTAAGGGAGTACAGGAAACAAGTCATTGAGATAAAATAAAATTATCTCAATGAGAAATAAAATACACTTTGCCTTTTGGAGATATTACTTGAAGTTCCATTGAGTCTTCTTGTGCCAAAGACATTACTTATGAAAATTCTGCCATGAATCATATTGTGGAATTCTATTTTAGGATTCTGTCATGTAACTACTCTACAGTAACTACTCTACATTAGGATTCTATGCAAGTTCTTTCTACTTGTTTATGACATGTTTAGAGTAGTATGTGTGTTTATTCACACAACTGCAAACTTTAAATCCTGGTATAAAACATACTAATATCCTTCCCTTTTCCCTGTTTTTGCTTGTCTCACTTCCTCCTTCCCTTCAGATATCTTATTTTTCAGCCACCTCAATGCTTAAAAGTTATTTCTTATATTTTAATTGAAACATCATCCATTGCACCTGGTTATAGAGCTTTTGTGGTTACAGATAGTTGTCTGTAGCTCACAAAAAGTAGCTGTAAAAGCAGCATGCTGGTAATGCCTGCTGAAACTGAGCCAACAATCTGCTTACACATTCATTGTGGTTCTCCAACTTGTTAGGTGGAAAAGGATAGACAAATTGTAGATTTTTCATAGTGACTATGGAGTTGCACTAGTTATCATAGTGACTCTCAACACTTCACAAATGAAAAATAAAATTGCACAATACACCAAAATTAAAAGAACTTAGCAGTTACCGTTGTAGGAGAAGCAAAGATCCCAGCAAATTGTTCTGGTATTGACCCTTCCTTCATTATCATGTATGCTTTGAGAGTATTCATCAATTGATTGTACTTCTCTTGGCATCCAGAAGAAGAGCATCCAATATTATTACTCACAATTCTAATATTACCAAGACGAAGATTTGTCTCTCTGAAAGTATTGCTTGGAGTAGCTCCTAATTCCAAATATCTCACCCTTCCAGGATGCTCTTTGCCTAGCACCTTACCAACAGCATCATTTGAAGAAATTTCAGACTCATCCACTGTACTTTTACTCACTGCTAGCTCAATTTTTTCCTAAACACAATACACATCAAAAAAATCTGAGCCAACATTACAAATCGGTTATTACTATGCTTTGCAATAATTATCTATTTCCTGCCATAAGGTGCAATCAGATTACTACGCATGCCATAAACTGGGCATGCCATATGTTCTCATGAGAATCATTAATGTGACACATTCAATCTGAGGTTTCAGAAAAATACCTGAATTTCTTCTTTATAACGGTAGTTCACAAAGGAAGTCCATTGATCCCGAGTAATACTTTGGTTTTAAGTGGGTCTTTAAACTCATACCACAACTTCTGCCTACTTGCAGCCCACTCTTTGCTGCAATAGAGCGATAAACATATTCTCATGCAACTTCCTCAATGGTCATGAAACAAAAATGAGGCTTCAAAAATATATTTTGGTTAATTTATCTTTCAAGTGCAGCTGATGAACCTTTCAAGTACAGCTAATGAACCTTTCAGAATATAAAGAGAAAAATATCAGTTCTCTATTCTCTATTATTAGAATAGAGAATATTAACTATGAAGCAATAAATACATACAACAAACACCATCTATAATCATAAACACTACCAAACTTGAAAATCCCATAAGAAAGAATGTGTTTGCATAGTCATAGTCATATCTCCCAACAATAATAAGTAGATTCAAAGACAAGTAAGTCAACAAACTATAAGCATCATGATAGAAAATATATTCACCGTAAGTTATCAAAAAGGGAACAGTTTACTCTAAAATATTTGTCGCAAAGCATCTAATTTGGAGAAATTAGTAGGCAAAAAGTCCTTGATCTAAAATAGGTATTTGACTGATATCTAAATCTAATGACATTAAAACTCCATTGCACGGCCCCCCCTTTTTCACAACTTACTTTTATTGGTAATATCAGTATGGGAGAATAGAGACAGTGGTCCACTGGTCTTGCATGTATGTATGTACTTACTTTCAGTTTTTTAACATACTGTAATATAATTTGTGATCATCAGTTTTCGAGTGACTTATCAATCTTCTGCTTGAAAAGGCGTAGAGATCAGATTCCCAAGTCTCAGCTTAAATAAATTACTAGTAGTAAAATCTTTAATTAGACACACATAAGAGAAAAAGTATATTATTTCTGCTGATATGCATTTTCAAGTGATCAGTAAATTTAATTATGATACTGTAGTATATCTCTGTTAGGTGTTTAACATGTCCAACAAAGCAAAAGGGGAGGAGAAACCAAGAGAAGTGAGAGGCAACAGATAAGAAGAGAAACAACAAGTGAAAATTTTGGAATTCCAAACAAAGTCCAAGATTCTTAACAATCAGGTTTGTCAAATTTTGTTTTTCAGCTACCTAAACTGTAAATTTCTCAGAATTCTTGATTTTCGCTTCTTTTTTGTCCTTTGCTCAATTGCTTGTGAAATGTCAGCTCTGTTTGTTTGTTGCTAATTTCTTACACATTAGATACGTATTGGGTTTAATTTAGAATGACAAAACTGAACTCGAAATTTTGATTTTGACCCCAAATTCCACCTTCCTAATTGCAAATTCAGTAAATCTTGGTTGTTTTCATTTAGAATAGTAAACCCAAAAGCACGAAGAACCAAAAGTACACAAAATTTCCTGCAGAGATATTGACCATTAAACCCAAAAGCACAAAGAAAGCAAGGAAAAAGCACACAAAAATTCATACAGATAGACCAAAATACACACAAAAATTCAAAATTAACAGAAATCCCATGAGTAAAAATAAGGAAAGAGAGAGAAAATCAAATATGGGAGGTGTAAAAGCGGTGGCGATTGTTGTTGTGAGGCGGAAGTTTTGTTGTTGTGAGGCGGAAGTTAGAAGAAAAGAGATTTGGATATTGTCTCTTCCAATCAAGCGACTGTCGTATTTTGTTGTTGTGAGGCGTAAGTTTCTAGGGCGAAAAAGATTGGTGAAAAGATGGAGGGAAATAAAAGTTACCCGCTATTATTTTAGGTTTTCGGATATTTTACGTCAGAGTGAACGAGTAAAGTACCTCTCTTTTTCTTTTTGCCTTTTTAGCTTAGTTCACTATTATTTTCAAGATTTCCTCAGCTAGCTCATTCACTCTCTCGTGTGCATGCTAAAGTGGACGAGCAAATTTTTTTTGTCTTTTTGTCCCGAATCGGCTTCTTTTGTTCATTTTCTGCCCAACTTGCTCCTACACATAACAATGCACTTAATGAGTATAATTCACTACAAAAACTCATATAACCTCCCGTATTCACATAAGTTATGAATGAAAGTACACCCAAAAATATGCTTTTTTTTATCACTAACTAAGTTGAACTAAAAGATACTTTGTTCTGATTTTCTCAAATTTGTGTTCTGTTATGTGAAGCACCCTTCTTCCGCCATAATGAAGATTATATTGCCACGTTTGGACAAATTAAGGTCTCTGGTGAATTAATACTTCCTCCGTTCCAAAAAGATGATACCTTTCAGATTCCGAGAGTCACATGGTGAAAGATAGTTTGTTATATATGTTTGAAAAGTGGGTTGTCCCACATCGGTGGTGCAAGGGCACTTTGTGTGCCTTTTAAGTCCTTGTCCTTTTATGTGTTTAATTTAGAACACATACTCTTATATGTGTGCAAATACATATATATTATATATTATATATATTAATATCAAAGACTTGGACTTGGACTTGGGGCCGGGTCAGACCTAAAATAAATATTTTATTTTTATTTATTTCTACAATTAAATCTGTTTTATTTTAAATTTATTTGAATAAACAGATGCGTCTTTTTATGAAAGAACACATCTTTTTGAAAAGGTCCGATGGTTGCCTATAAATAGAAGTTCTTCCAACAAAGTGGATATAGAAAAAATCTACGGTATATTCTTGGCTTGTTGTATCCTGAAGAAGATTGTTTGTATTTTCCCAATTTGTATAGGGGCAATATCTTCTTTAAGCAAAGTCGTTCTCACGCCTCAAGCCTTCTTCAATTTCGTTTTCGATTATTATTTTTCTAACAATCTTAAAGAAGATAATCTGCTATGGAGAATATTCTGTCCGCTGTTGAAAATCCAAAAGAGTTCATCAAACTCGATCGTTTTGATGGATCAAACTTTACTCGCTGGAAGGACAAGATGATTTTCCTACTGACTGCTCTGAAGATTTTTTATGTTCTTGATCCATAATTGCCTGCTTTGCCAGAACCCACTGTAGAAGATTCTGATGAAGTGAAAGCAACAAGGAAGAAACGGGAAGATGATGAACTGCTGTGTCGGGGACATATTCTGAATACATTAACAGATCGTCTCTATGATCTATATCAAAATTTGAAGTCTCCAGGGGAAACCTGGACGGCATTGCAAAGTGCTTATGAAAACGAGAAATGAGGTATTGATAAATTTCTATCTTTAAAGTACTTCGAATTTAAAATGGTTGATACAAAGCCCATCATGGATCAGATTCATGAACTGCAAATCTTAGTTTCAAAACTAACTGATCTTGAAGTTAAAATTCCTGATGCACTTCAAATCGGTGCTATACTTTCTAAACTGCCCTCTTCCTGGAATGACTATAGAAAGAAGATCCTGCATTCTTCTGAGAAATTGACTGTGGAACAGTTTCGAACTCACATTCAAATTGAAAGAGAGAATCGAATTCCTGATACTTTTATGCAACCTTCGAGTTCCACAGTTAATAATGTTAGTCAGAATAATAATGGAGATGGAAACAAAAATCTGAAAGTTTCAAATAAGCCTCAATTTAAAAAGAGGAATACTTTGAAATGTCATCATTGTGGAAAGAAAGGCCACAAGATCCGTGATTGCAGGTTTAAGAAAGCAGGAATTAACTTTAACCATGGAAATTCTGGAAACTCGGGAAGGTCTGAAAAGGCAAAAGCAAACACGGTTGAAAGTTCTTCACAAGGCTTGGTTGCAATGGTTTATGTAGTACCATGCAATATGGTTACAGAATTAAACATGATTTCTGCTGCTGTTAAGAGTCAAGTCTGGTGGTTAGATTCGGGTGCCACCATTCATGTCTGTTATGAGAAGAATATGTTCAAGACTTATGCAGAAGTGAAAGAACCCGAGAAGGTTCTCATGGGAAATCATATGACTGCAGATGTTGCAGGAAAAGGAAGTGTTGAGATCAATTTCACTTCTGGGCAGAAGCTAACATTGCTAAATGTGTACCATGTTCCTGACATGAAGAAGAACTTGATGTCTGCTAGTTTGCTGTCTAAGAGAGGCTTCAAGATAGTCATAGAATCTGATCATGTAATAATATCTAAGAATGGTCTATTTGTTGGAAAGGGCTACACTTGTGATGGCATGTTCAAACTTAGTATTAATGCAATAAACTATGTTTCTGCTTATATTGTTGAGTCCAATTCTTATTTATGGCATGCTAGATTAGGACATTTAAATTTTGGTTCGTTAAATTATATGTTCAAAAATGGATATATTTCTTGCAAGCATGATAATGTGGAAAAATGTGAAATATGTATACAAGCAAAAATGACTAAGAAACCTTTCTGTAAAACTGAAAGATTTAGTGAATTGTTACACTTAGTACATTCTGATATATGTGAACTAAATGGAAAGTTAACCAGAGGAGGCAAGAGATATTTTATTATTTTTATAGATGATTATTATAGATTCACATATGTTTACTTGCTTAGAACAAAAGATGAAGCATTTCAGAAGTTTAAAGATTATAAATCTGTTGTGGAAAATTAAAAGAATACTAAGATTAAGATTCTTCGTAGTGATAGAGATGGAGAATATTTTTCCTCTGAATTTAATAAGTTTTGTGAAGAGAATGGTTTGATACATCAAACAAGTGCTCCTTATACACCACAACAAAATGGTTTGATTGAAAGGAAAAATAGAACTTTAGTTGATATGATTAATGCTATGTTAATGAATGCACATTTACCACATAATTTATAGGGTGAAGCACTTTTAACAGCTTGTCACATATTAAATAGAGTACCTTCAAAAAGCTTACATGTTTCACCATATGAACTTTGGAATAATAGAAAACCTAATTTAGATTATTTTAAAGTGTGGGGGTGTATATCATTCTATAGAGTTCATGATCACCAAAGAACAAAACTAGGTCCTAGAGGAATTAAAAGCGTTTTTGTTGGATATTCTCAAAATTCTAAGGCATATAGATTGTTGGATCTAGAATCTAATGCTATAATAGAATCTATTCATGTTCAATTTATTGAAAATAAATTTTTAGATAACACTGTTGATGAGGAAATGACTGAATCAAATGAAAGTGATAATAATGCATATAGATCGTCACATGCCGAAATTACTACAAGTAAAAAGAAAAGTGACAATATACAAATAGAACTAAGAAAGAGTCAAAGAATGAGGAAAGAAAAATGTCTTGGTTCTGATTTTATCTCTTCACAGTCCTTAGTCTTTCTTGTAGAAGGAGATAGAAAAAATGTCTATAATCAAATTCCTATCTTGTTAAATGTTGAAGAAGACCCGAAGACATTTCAAGAAGCTATGGCTTCTCGAGATGCTGCCTTCTGGAAAGAGGCTATTAATGATGAAATGGATTCAATAATGTCCAAGAATACTTGGGTTTTAGTTGATTCTTCCAAATGGATAGAAACCCATAGGTTGTAAATGGGTCTTTCGGAGGAAGTATAATACAGACGGTTCTATCCAAACCTTCAAAGCAATATTAGTTGCAAAAGGTTTCACTCAAAAAGAAGGCATAGACTATTTTGACACTTATGCTCCTGTAGCAAGAATAACGCCCATTAGAGTGCTTTTATCGTTGTCTTCTATATATAACTTGTATGTGCATCAAATGGATGTTTAAACGGCCTTTTTAAACGGAAACCTTGGTGAAGAGATTTATATGCAACAACCTGAAGGTTTTGTTCTTCCAGGAAATGAGAAGAAAGTATGTAAATTGATAAAGTCTCTCTATGGTTTGAACCAAGCACCTAAACAATGGCATGAAAGGTTTGATAATGTTGTACTTTCAAATGGATTCATACATAATCATGCTGATAAATGTATTTACTCCAAGTTCACAAAAGAATACGGAGTTATCATTTGTCTATATGTTGATGACATGCTAATTTTTGGTACAAATATGCTTGATATTACTGAAACCAAGAAGTATCTAACTTCAGTTTTTAAGATGAAAGACTTAAATGAAGTAGATACTATTCTAGGCATAAAGGTGAAAAGAGAGAACAAAAGAATGACTTTATCACAATCGCATTATATTGATAAGATCCTTGCTAAGTTCAGTCATTTAGGCATAAAGGAGTTTAATACTCCGTATTACTCTAGTATCAAGCTAACTGAAAATACTGGAAGAGCAATAGCCCAATTAGAGTATGCAAGTGCAATAGGTAGTATGATGTATGCAATGCATTGTACAAGACCTGATATAGACTTTGCTGTTTGTAAACTTTCAAGGTTTACTAGTAATCCAAGTAATGATCATTGGAAAGCAATAACTAGAGTACTTGGATATTTAAAATATACAAAATGTTTGGGCATTTGCTATACTGGTTTTCCCACTGTTTTAGAGGGATATTCTAATGCAAGTTGGATTAGCAGTGTTAATGATAATAAATCCACTTCAGGATGGATATTTACTTTGGGAGGTGGTGCCATTAGTTGGGCATCCAAGAAACAAACTTGTATTTCTCATTCTACTATGGAATCTGAATTCATAGCATTAGCAGCTGCTGGGAAAGAAGCAGAATGGTTGAGGAACATGTTATTAGATATAAAGTTGTGGCCACAACCTATGCCAGCCATTTCTGTATTTTGTGATAGTGAGACTACCATGTGTGTGGCTCATAATAAGATATATAATGGGATCAAGACATATAAGCCTGAGGCACGCTTATATATGAGAATTAGTCACAAACGGGACTATAACTATTGTGTATGTGAGATCGAATAAGAATTTGGCAGATCCACTTACCAAACCATTAACA